ATTAGAATAGTGCCAGTTCACCACCATGCATGCGTAATGGGCTGCACCCATGTTTTTGCCTACCCACGCGAGCATTCAGGGTTCATTACAGTGTACTAATACAGGGTGCTACTCAAGGTGCTAATACAGACTGTTTTAGAAAATAATATGATTTAAGGAGCATAAACCTTGTTCAACAAACATTTGCCTTTGCAATTGAACTGTGCAACTGTAGCCTCACATCCACAATAGCAAAAGCAGTTCAGTCCTTTGTTAACAGTCAACAAATCCATGTTTAACCCTCCTCTTGAGGGTCAAAAGGTTATCTGACACTTACTCTTTGCATGTCAGCAGAAAGTACATTTTATGGTCCTTTCAATAAAGCCATAAAAATGGTAGGTGACCGCTGAAACAAAAAAGTTTTTCAATCGCTCCGTCAGACCATGTCCTCAGAAAATGTCTAAAATCTGCCCTGTGCCCCATTTACCTTTGACCTGTGACATCCAATTTCGGCACAGTGATGGCTTTTCCTACCATGATGCTATACACCGACTATCACGAGCCTAGGTCGAGCCGTTTAGATTTGTGCTGCAATTTTGCATTTGCTCCTATACCTTAAGTTAAGGAGGGAATGTTCCCCCTTCTTTTACACCTCTTGACCTTTGACCCTCAGCTTCAACATCCCAACTCGTTTTCGGATTACCCCCCACGTCCCGACTTTCGAATCCGTATGTCGAGCCGTTTAGATTTGTGCCTAACTGTTGACAGACGCACGAACGCACGGCCGGACAGACGCACGCTCATGCGATTATACAAGCTGCATCTGACTATGTCAGATGAGCTAATGATCAGGCTTTTTAACACTTATTTATCTACATGGACGGCTTACCTATCTTTTTGAATACTTTTCACAACTTTACACCATGCGTTTATACATTTATTCCTCAAAGTCTTAGCATTACTTGCAAATTCCGTTCAAAAACGTTCACGCGGGTACCGTCATTCGAAATGTAGGCAAAAACACAGGGGCAGCCCATTACTCATGCATGGGGGTAAACTGGCACTTTTCTAATCATAAACATGTTGCCTGACAACCTTGCAATCAGCGCCAGTGCTATACCCACACCCCATGAGTAATGGGCTGCCCTCGTTTTTCTGTGACCCGTTCCTCGTGGCAGCAGAGGGAGCAGTATCGGTGCCCAGTTTCAACATAGTTTGTGCTATAGCCCTGTGGCAGAGCGAAGGGCTATAATTCTAGAGCTAGTCCGATATTGAACAGGCGAATAGAAGTAGACGAGTCAGCTTCGGCCATCAAATTTAAATCATCTGTGACCGAGCTCATGATCAGGGGGCCGTTGTCAGAAACATCGTAAAGTTAATGCTAATGTTAATGCTAAGATAACACTTACGACTAATGTTAATGTTCCGAGAGTAGCGTTGACAGAAACGTATTGCAGCTATGAGAAAACTCACGATAACAGAAACTTCATAATTTGATGTCACAAGGCTGCTGATTGGATGAGAATCGATCACAAAACTCAAACTCATACACATTTATTGCACATCACAGTAATTTATGCATATCATGCTGGGTAACCACTAGGGGTGTAACGATACGCCAAGCCACGATACGATACGTATCAAGAAATTTTATTCACGATACGATATGCAACGATACACAAACGATACACCATAACAACCCACGGGTGAACACTCGACTGAACACTGCTTTTACGTAGTGCTTTATAATATAAATAAAAACATCTGGTACACTCGTGGTACACTGTATCACTGAACAGTTAGGAACTAAAATACAAATGTAGATCAATTACCAAAATAGTTTCTCATTCAGAAACACTAATTTAACCAAATTTAGTGTATTGCAGGAGGCCCTGCATGCTGTGTCTGTAGTTTCACTACTAATCAGTTTGATGTTTCTAATCACTAGCTTGATAAAATTACAAGTTCAAGTTTGACAGGTTTACCCACTTCTGCCAATTGTATTATGTAGTATTATGTAGATACAAAGAGGGTTTACATTGTGACCATGACCTCGTGAAGTAGGAGGATAAACGAATAACAACAACAACAACAAATTGGTTAAAATAAATGCATTGATAATGACCTAAATACGCACTAACCCCATATTGACCATTTAATTGATAAGAGGCTGGTCACAAATAGATCTCAATAACATCAGAACATGATGACGTCATTAGACATTGGACTGATTAGGGCCTACAGATTAGTCATTAGCAAAACAGTAACACTAACACTAACACAGTAACGCACGAAGGGTCGTTGTCGTAACAGGTACTACAGATATGTACCCGATGTCGTTTTAGGTTGTTTAGTATTATGTTTATATTTTTATATGAGGTATGTCGGTACAAGTAGCGTTTACACACCCATGTTGTGAGTTTGGTTAGGGTTAGGGTTAGGGTTAGGGTTAGGGTATTTAAACGTGGGGTTGTCAAATAGGAATGGGCCGGTATGTTTAGGGTTAGGGTTAGGGTTAGAGTTAAGGTTAGGACTAGGGTTAGGGTTAGGGTTAGTGTTAGGGTTAGGGTACACTTCTGTAGTACAAGTCTGGTACACTTTGTGTATACATATATGTACCTCGGGTACATATCTGTAGTACCTGTTACGACAACGACCCCTTGAGCCACAGTAACACTCAACAGATCAAGTTCAAATGCGTTTCACGCACAATGGTTATAGTTATACGCACGTCACTTTAACAGCATGTTTTTTGCCATATGTTACTATAGTATATATAGTCTCTTCTTGCAGTCTGCAGCGATATGTAGTGGTACGTTGTAAACTGAATAAAAAATACCTACTGATTATTTCACTTGGCAAAATATTTCCAACTTCGCATGTAAGCTGTCATTTTGTCGTTTCCAGCGACATCTATTGGCGGAAATGTAGTTGTCGAGTTGTATATTATGACGTCGGAAGTCGCATTGTATGGGGATGCTGATTCGATTCTGATGAATCATTTTATAAGCGAGTACAAATCTTTACAAACCCATTTCTGGGAAGGCTGCAGTTAAATCTCAAGTTATTGCTCAATCGATATGGCCACGGACGAGCTAGCCACAAAGTTGGCAAATCGTTTAAAGGTAGAAGGAAAGGAAGATGAAAACAAGAAACTGAGACACTACGATGATCCACTAGAAACATTTGCTCATCCGTATCCAGAGTTCAGCGAGTTCTCAAGAGAACAGATTCAGCAGTTTGAAGACATCTTCAAAGCGTAAGAAGCGGACACCTCTATTCTCTGCCTGCGTCTTCTTGGTTTATCACTTTTACATACTTTTACCTTTATAGCATATATAATGTATTTTTTAATATATTTTGAATGGAATTATATTGGAATATATGGAGTTTATTCAGCCCCTATAAGTGAAGCGATACGTACACAATCACGCACGCACGCTCGCAAAAACCCGCACAGACGTACGCACGCGTGAAAACACACGCGCGCGCGCGTGTGTGTGTGTGTGTGTGTGTGTGTGTGT